TGATCAAAAGAAGACTAATTAAATATGTGGATTGATTGTGTAAATCATCCATACTTGTATAGTGGGCTAATGCTCCATGGATTATCTAGTTGGGCCAAAACCCATATGATGCTCCATGGATGCTCCATGGTGTATTTGAACCCATGGATCCAAGGAAATGGAAAGTCATGACAATTAGGGTTTACCCTAATTGTATAACTATATAAGCATCTTATTCTTGAGGAAAAATCGGCCACTAGTGAGAGTAAGAAAGGGCTAGCCGATTTTCATGAAGTGTAGAATTCTCTCTAAGTTATTCTAAGTGTTTTGATGATTGTGAACCATTTGGGGTGTCACACTTGGGGCACTAGGCACTCAAGCTTCATGAAGACAAGCTCCATCAAAGAGGTATGTATTATATCTTGTTATATTGATAGTTTTGTATGCTAGTTTAGGATAATACCTTGGATATTCATATTTGCATGTATAATAGAGAAAACATAGATCCAAGGTATTTAGGGTTGCATGTACACTTAGGAGTGTTAGAATGCTCATAACCCAACAAGAATTAGAATTGGGTTAGGTCATAAAGGAAATGTAAACAAATGAGGGAGAGAGGAGTGCGATCATAGGTCTTCTATCCCAACGGTATCCAGTGTTGCCTCCCTCCTCGATATTGAGGATTCAAGTTCCATCGTGGATATATATGGATTTAAGGAGTAGTTTAAGAGTATGTTAGATGTGTCGTTTAAAAAAAAGTAAAAATGAGTGGGGGTAAGGGGTGCGGAGGGTGCTTTTTATTTTCTTTTCTCTTTTTAGGTTGAATTTAATTAAGGAAAAGAGAAAAAAAAGATAAAAGGGGGGAAAAAGTCATTTCATGTGGTTTAAGGTCTAGCTATGCGTGTTTTAGAAACCACAATGATCATATTTATAAAAAAATTAATAGGGATTGAAGTTGTGACCTTTGTTAAACCATAAAGACTATTTATGTATTAGTTAAGGGAAAGAGAAGAAAGATAAAAAGGAAAAGAAGTCCTTTCATTCATGTGGTTTAAAGCTATGCAAGTTTTAGAAATCACAATGATCATGTTTATCAAAAATTGGTAAAATGTATCATGTGTGAGCTTAATCGTGTTTACAGAACATTAATAGTATTTTTAGTGTATTGGGATTTAAACTTTGTATCTCATATGTAAGAGACGTAGTTGTGAAAAAAGTTTGCCATGATAGTTCAAAATTTGTAAAACATTTTTTAATATTTTATTTTGTTACCGTTTCATAAGGGGTCACGTTCATTTGAATCAAAAACTTGTAATGACATATTGTGATTCAAAGTTCAACCAATTGATAGTTCAATAGATCACAACCATGAACTATTGTGATTTTAGATCCCATGACGATTTCACATTGTGGTTAAGTTTACGAACGTTGTAATGTTTTACTAGGGAAAATTTCATGTATGTAGTGAAGATTCTGACATTTTCTTTTGTTGGGTCACTTTTGAATCTTTTCAAAAACATAAAGAGTCTTTAGGTAAAATTTAAAATAATTGAGAAGTTTATATATAAAAAAATTTAGATATTGGGGGCATATGCCCCTACTCCCAAAGCCTTAGATCTGCCAGTGTGATTAGCGCAATTCAACCATGGATAAGTTGATTAGCTTGCGAGGCTTGAATAGTAAATGTTTACCGACCTAATCATGGCATTCGAGATTTGGTGCACACTAACTAAGATTGTATTTGTCACATACTTTTCAGGAACTTTTAACTTTTAGTTTTATACAAAAATTCAAAAAAAGTTGTTCGAAAGTATGAGCTTCTAGCTTTTAATTAAAAAAATTAAAATCAAAAACCTATTTCAAACAACGTTTAACAAAAAGCATTTATATAATTTTGCTAATTGACTTAATTTTCTTTTTTTAAATCAATGATATGTTTTAGATAAGTCATTTTATGTAATTTTATAACCAAAAAAAAAAAAAAAAAAAAACTATTCAACTTTTCAAAAGCATATTTTATTTATTTCCGCACATATTTTCGATCCACTCGCTTATTTTATAAGATATCCATTTTTTTATATTTATTTAACTAGGTTAAAATCCGTAAAAACCGCAGGTAACAAAAAATGAAATTGATAATTAAAAATAGTACTGCAGCAATATACGATCATATAATAATGGCACATATTAAAGTAAATAAATTATTTGTTTTTTTATAACGAGTTAAACCATATTTATACATAATATTTTTTTATTTTGTACGAGAACAATTTGTACGTTAAAATGGAAGATATGAAGGGCAAAATGGACTTTTAATATTGGACAATTATGGATATAGAATGATCCAAGTAGCATGAGTCTTTTATTAAGTTGAGTAGATCTCGTTCGATCTTAGAATTAAATAAATTTGCTTCATATACTCTATACACAATAATTTTTAAGTTTTATGTGGGGAAAAGCTATGAGCAAGAATCAAATTGTTGTTTGATACCTCTCAACAAACATTTTATGAGTGGTAAGTACATAATTTGTTTTTGTACGAATTTTTAAGTTTTGGTTTGTAAGGATTAAACTTTATACCTCATACAGTCATACGTGATAGACACAAGACAATATAGATGCAAAAAAGTTGTCGTAATGGTTCATGATAGGAAAATGACTTATTAAAGTAATTAACTATTTCAGTTGTTCATATATAGGTAATGTTTTTTTTTTGTACACATTAAGGTAACTAACTTGTTTTGTTTGTTCACATTTAGGTAATATGACCGGCTATCACCTGTTTTTGCTTATGTGGCATTCACCTGGCATATGACTTGAATACGTTGCACCTATGTGGCATGGTGCATATATGGGAAAATGATTTATTAAGGTAACTAACTATTTCAATTGTCCATATATAGGTAATGTTCTTTTTTTTGTACACATTAAGGTAACTAACTTGTTTTGTTTGTTCACATTTAGGTAATATGACCGGCTATCACCTGTTTTTGCTTATGTGACATCCACCTGGCATATGACTTGAATACGTTGCACCTACGTGGCATGGTGCATATATTGTCTTCATTCGATTACACTATAACTGTGTCATACGATTCCACCCCTAATTCTAAACCCTAGATCGATCGACGATGGCTTCTTCTTCCTCATCTTATTCTTCAAAATGACAAGATGAGTTTCAAGCTGATCATCCATGTGATTGCGGTTTACCATCTCGTGTGAAGATTTAAGGAACTCCTACATCATATTCAACAATATTTATTTACCATCGAGTTTTGACAAACTCTAAATTTTCTTCCAAGGTTGTCAGGAGTTCTTGAAATCTTCACACGAGATGGTAAGCCGCAATCACATGGATGATCAGCTTGAAATTCATCTTGTCGTTTTGAAGAATAAGATGAGGAAGAAGAAACAAAACAAGTCATATGCCAGGTGGATGCCACGTAGGTGCAACGTATTCAAGTCATATGTCAGATGGATGCCACATAAGCAAACACATGTGATAGCCGGTCATATTACCTAAGTGTGAACAAACATAACAAGTTAGTTACCTTAATGTGTACAAAAAAAAAATACCTATATATGGACAACTGAAATAGTTAGTTACCTTAATAAGTCATTTTCCCATATATGCATCATGCCACGTAGGTGCATCGTATCCAAGTCATATGACAGGTGGATGCCACATAAGCAAAAACAGGTGATAGCCGGTCATATTACCTAAATGTGAACAAACAAAACAAGTTGGTTACCTTAATGTGTACCAAAAAAAAAAACACACACACACACACATTACCTATATATGGACAACTTAAATAGTTAGTTATCTTAATAAGTCATTTTCCCGTTCATGATCGTTAAAACGTTCTTTGATATATTGTTTTATTACTGGTTCATAATAAGTCAAATTTATTTAAAGTAAGAACTTGTAACAACAGTATGATGAGATTTATAACCAGAAAGCTGAACCGGTTAGACCATAATATGTAAAACTGGTCCGGGACCGGGTTTGATAAATGGATTTATCCAGTTTTCTCGGTTTGGGTCATTTGGGTCCAGAAGTTGAACCGGTTAGACCATAATATGTAAAATTGGTCCGGATATCGGGTTTGATAAATAGATTTATCCAGTTTTCTGGGTTTGGATCATTTGGGTCCGAGTAACTGATTTTAGGAACTACATCTAGTTTTTGAAATTGTGTATTAGATTAACGGGGTTTTGGACCAAAACCCGAATTTTAAAATCCTTTTCTCTGTCAAAAAAAGAAAAAGATAGTACTCCTTGCATACAAGTACTAGATGATGTTTTAGACTTTTATGGTCAAACAAATATATGATTGTCTGTGTTGCGTTACACGACAATAAAGAAATGAAATTTGAGTCTACAAATTCAAAAAATCACACTGTTATTCCACCATGTTACAATAACCAATATTTTCAACCCTAAAAAATGCAAATCTTAGTAGTATAATTTAACAAAAACAAAAACTCAAGAGAATGACAAAAAAAAAAAAATCAGAACCTTTGTCTTTTGCATCTAGATGCATTTTGGTTTTTTAGGAAATAAGTAGATCCAACCATTTAAGTAATAATAATAATAATAATAATAATAATAATAATAATAATAATAATAATAATAATAATAATAATAATAATAATAATAATAAAATTGTTTTTTTTCAATGTTCACAGACTCACTTTACCGAGTCTCTTACCCGGAACTGGTTCTTATATAGTGGTCTGGTTTCTGGATCTACAAAATCTCATTATCTGGTTTCCGGTTTCTAGACCATTGGGGTCGGGTTTAGTAATGTTTGAATTGCAAGGACATTTTGGTATGTGATTGATATATGATTAGCGGAATTCAACCATGCACAAGTAGTTTAGCTTGATAGGGTTGAAAATTATATGTTTTGGTCTAATAATATTCCATCTTTTTGGTAACATCATGGGATAAACATTTAAAGTAATATGGACTAAAATCAAAATTGCAACATGGTACGATAGTTTGACATACATCTCCTAAGACTTTATATGTTCTCCTTAAATTGATCATTACTTGTAAGAAATTCTTGAATTTGGTGATGGCAGCGTGAAGGATGATTACTTTCTCTCACTGTTACTTGTCTTTCGATTTCAAAATAATCAGGTCATGGGGGCATGGAGGATGATTGCATTCATTGAAACTCTAATAGGTAGAAAACGGCGTTGTTACTATTTTTACATGTTTTGTATTGTTTTGAATTTCTAGGAAGAAAAGATTCAGATTCCTTTGTTCCAATTTGTTTTTTGTGATGCGTATGTGAACTGGATATATAATATTTAGAGGTACTTTGTTTTTCTTTCTCAACACAGTAGAATGAGCTGAGCGATTTGATCGAGTTATGAGCTTGAGAAATCATATATATGATAATGATACCTATCTACTCTACCTTCTTCATGGTTGATTTCTTTCTGATCCTAACACAATACAAGTTGCTGCTGATAATTTTGTTTCAGAGAATTTTCAAAACCCACCAATCCGATTGTCAAAAACAAAGTACAAGTAGAAGAAGAGCATGAAGCTTCAAGTTCAAAATTCATAACCACCTTCACTTCTAAATCTGATTTGAAGGACATGATCTTGCAATGATGTAGTGTTCACCTCACCTGCAAAGTGTGTGAAACCAGATCTGTTGGCAGAATATTATTTGTTATACCTCCACAATATTACTTTTTAACATATTTATCTCACTATTGGAATATGTTAACAATTTTACTCGAGTGCATTTTGGTTCACATTTCTCATCTATCTTAGACCTTCAACTTTCGAATCTACTTTTCACTCTCAATCAAATACCAGGTTTCCCAAGATCAAAATTGTGAAATATAGGTGCAAAATGACATTTAATGGATATGAACTCTTTCTTTTGCAAAATGATATTTAAGGGTCATAATAATGTGTTAATCCAACATAAACACAATGTTATGAAATCTAGCAATGCCAATGAATGTAACCACTTTACTCATAAAAACCAGTAACCATTACCAAATTCAAGGCTACCTCCATCATAATAACCATCACAGTTGCTACAGTTTATAAGCATGAAACCTCTTTTCAACAACTTCACATGCCTGTCTGCAAAAACAATTTTCACATAAACAAAATCAGATGACTGTAAATTCATGCCTCCTATAATTAAACTTTAACAACAACAATGAACACAAAGCTCCTATAATCAATTGACTAATGATCACAACGAGCAGCCAAAAAAGAATTGAACAGTATTTATAGGGTTGAGGATCAGTTCAGGTGTGAATAAATCTGTTAACCATGGGATGGGGTTAACTTGAGTTAAAGCTGGTGGACAGGAAAGAGCAACCACTAGCAACAAGATGCTACTACTTTTTCAATTATTATGTTCACAGAAGCACTGAAACACCATCAGCGACATTCTTTATTTAGAAAGTAGCTTACAACTTATTGTTCTACGGGAGATTGGGAGTTGACATAATTGGGTGCACAATGTATATGATAATATGAGAACATAAAAGACATTTGCAAAAAATACAGGCCTACACGTACCGATTACAGCTGCTACTGCTGTTGTTGTTGCTGGTTGCTTGGTGGTGGCGGCATCCCAGGACGAGGAGGTCCAAAACCTGGCATCTGTCCACCAGGCGGAGGCATTCCAGGTCGAGCAGGAGGAGGCGGACCAGGCATACCAGGTCGTGGCGCTCCCCCTGGTGGTGGCGGACCTCTCATCATCTGAGGCGGTGGAGCCATAGGCCTTTGTCCGTACTGCCCTGGCGGAGGCACTGGATACTGACCAGGCGGCCGTTGAGCAAACTGAGGAGGCATCTGAGGAGGCGGTCCACGTGGCATCTGAGGAGGAGGACCCTGGCCAGGGTATGGCATTTGTCCGGGTCGAATCACCGGAGCCTGAGGGTAATTCATAGGCGGAGCAGACATATTCGGAACCGGCGGTCGAGAAATCTGCGGCTGCATCATACCGGGAGCCGGGCCACCAATTCCCCGAACCGGTCCAGCTAAACCCGGTTGAGCTTGAATCAAAGGAGCAGTCGGAATTCCACGGCCAGCAGCACGGCCGAGACCAGGGCCGGCCAACGCTGCAGCTCCAACGGCTTTAGCGCGATTCTCATCAGGCGGAGGAGGGCCTTCGACGGTCATGGAGATTACCTCTTCGCCCCTCAGGAGAACGAGACCAAGAGTGCGGCGGTCCTCGCGTTCTTCATTCTTCTTCGCACCTTTCGCCGGTGGAAGCTTACGAAACTCTTCACAGTCTCCGATTACAAGGTTCATGTGGCGATCGAAGGCCATGAACTTGCCGACTAGTTGGCGGCCATCTTGGATCGTGACACGCATACGGTAATTGATGAACTGGAGCATCTTGGAACCTTTAGACATCGACATTTTTGTAGATCGGTTAGGGTATCACAGTCACAGGTTACGGGAATGGTAAGACTGTAAGAAGGTTAGGGTTTTAAGAGGGGGAGAAGCACGTTGGACTGTACAAGTTTCTAAACAAGTCCCTAAGGTTTCATTATTTGTACTTCTCTAGATAAAGTCTTTTACAATAACATCCAAAATAATTAAAACACTTTAAAACTTTATTTATTTTGTTAAATCAACAAATAATGATATTTTTCAACATTTTTTCTTTGTGTATAAGGGTTTTTTCTAATTTAAATGTTTATTCACACCTATTTGAAATATTTTATAATACATTATCTTGTAGTTTATAAGAGTTGATGTTTTATCATAATCAATATGTGAGTTTCTAGTCTCTATAAAACCTATCGGCAATTTATAAATCGAATAATCATTATCGTTCCTATTTCCACGAAACATCAACTCTTCTAATCACTCATTTGCTCAACATACGAGTTTTCGGTGTGCGAAGTCAAATAAAATAAAATTAAACATCAACATAGATAATCTAAATATGAGATACATTGTATTTTATGTGATATTCCTGAAAACACTTAGATGAACAAATCTCATGTGGAATTGACTATCATGCTTCAAATCAACATTTAACACACTTTTTATTTAAACTAGTGAAGAGTCTGTGTCGTTGCACGGCTCGGATTTTTTCCTTTTTTGTTCTTTGGTAGTTCACGAAAATAGGATGCTATAATTGCTTGAATCCGAAAATACGATGCTTAAAAAATAAAATAAAGTTGAAGTAGATGTGCAATCATTACAAATCAAAGTACAATACCACATTTCATACTTTATCCGGTAAAAATTAAACATCCTACATACTAAAATATGAATTTGAAAAGAATCATAGTTTCAACATCTATTTCTTATCTCTAGACAACTACATGTAACATTTAAAATCATCTTCCTACATTACCTAATGTTAACTAAAAACCTGAGTAGAAAACTCAGTTACATAATAAAAGGTTACCTCAAGATCTAACAATCTTAAATAGAATCTATGCATACCGAGATGTTTATACAGCAATAGATGGTAATCCGCAACCTCTGATTTGGCATTGTCATTGGTGTCACCACCATCTGTATCTAAGGAGCCTTGCTCACTTTGTTACTTGTATGTATTAAATTCCTATTATATCCCTCAATCAATGAATCAATCCAATCACCATTCTGTTAAAACGTATGCAAGAAAAAAAATCAGAGACTATCCAGCTTTGTTTGATAAAGTTTTAGAGATTGAAGAGCTGGCAAATTTTTGATGCTCTTTTGGGACCTGTAATTCTTGGCTTCTCGACATCGGTCAGTCCGGCCATGTCATTGTCACCCTTTTTCACAATGACTAAATTCAAAACAGAAACATTTTTGCTCATAATGCACCCATGGATAGATTTCCTCCTGAGTTTACCACTACGACTTCCATATGCTCTGAAGCAAACAGTGCCTACAGGAGGTAAAAGAGTCATTTACTTATTATCAAAATCAAATAACCAAAGTATATAAAGTTAAAGACTTTAAGATGAACCTACCTCTGACAAGTAAATCACAGAAGTAAACAAAATAGGAGGTGCAACTCACATCACCATAGCAAGAACATACTCAAACATCATTTCAACCAACTATAAAATATGCCAAAAATAAATAATTAAGCAATAAAATAAAGTATTTTCAGAAAATTATAGCGGAATTACCCTGTGCTTTTTCAGCTTCAACCCCATATCCAATTATTCCTCTTGATTAATTTTTATGTGTGAATTAACAGAATCAATCTCAACCTACCACAATAAATATAAAACATGACTAATTTGATAAGAAATAAAAACCTGTTGAAAAGAATGGGTGACACCATATATGGGGCTTGCGGATCCGTCATACAGATTTGCTAAAAATCCACCATAAACGTTTTGAGGATTAATATTGTCACATTTTTCTGTCATTTTGAGGCTTTGCGAGTACTATTTTCAAAAATTGACATGTATATGTATGTCAAAAGAGTATTTAGTGTTAATTTTAACTTTTAAAACATGTTTCGATTTACGATATTAAACAAATATAGTTTAAACAATACTTTAAAAAAATATCATCTACTTTATATTTTTACTTTCTTTGACAGCTTTTAAAGCACTTCACCTTTATGCAAAATGAACAAATCCAAAGTCTATTAAGGAGTTCCATTTGAAGATTAAGTTAATAGATGGCGAATGCAAGATAAGGTCACAAAACAGAAAAAAAAAAAAGTAGCATATTTAGTTTAAATAAAGATATACTTTACAACCAAAATGACATTCGTTGAACAGTTGTCAATTTACCATGGCTAATCCATGTATACCCATCTTTCAAAAAAAATGGAATGCCCTCATAAGCATAAAATATTTTTATTACAAGTTTTGTAGCTTGTATGATTACTTTCATTTCCATTTCTTGCTATCTCAAAAAACAGTAGAAGTATAATCTAAAAATGTACCAATTCTAACATCCTATATTCATCCCGTTTCACTGCAGCGTATGGGTTTTTATTTCCAATCAACAATCTATAGATATGAAGCAATAATGCACACACTAACACATAGTAATAACCACTAATAAATTAGGGATAAAGAAAAGAAAACACACCAAAAATCAAGAATCCAAAACCAACATATCATAATCCAAACAACTTGACTGTGCCTGTAGATGTATTCCTGTGTTTAAGAGAGATAAAACTGAAACCATACAAGTAATTACAAGTGATCATAAAAATGAAAGGTTAATAGGCAATTTCACTTCTTATAGATACCATAATTATCATTTCATATTTATGAAAAGTATTCATATATTAATATACTTTGAATATAGCTTCTTAGTTGTAGCTCCCATGACAAGCCACTTAATCCCATGCTGCTCTATAGTCTGCACAATACATGTTTCAACATTATCAGCTTATATCCACACCTTACTGCCTCGACATACACAGATACCAAACTCCATATTACTAAAATTTCACTACAAGAAAAACGCGATTTTGCTACGGAGGGAATCCGTTGCGAAAAGTTGAAATTCCTTTGCAAAAGACGAATAGCAACGTAATTTACAACGACCTGTTTTTGTCCCTAAAAATGTCGTAGCGAGGGGTTTGCAACGGAAACGATAATTACGTAGCAATTGTGACAACATAATGAAATCCGTGGTAGATGGTATTTCGTCGTGTAATCCGTAGTAAATTTTCATCACAAATTACGTGGTGGTTCTTCCGTCACAAATTTCCTTATAGTTAATCCCTAGCAAAATCTGTGGTAATGAATCCCTAGCAAAATTTGTTGTGATGAATCCCTAATTAAATCCGTGGTGATGAATCCCTAGCTAAATCCGTTGTGATGAATCCATAGCTAAATACGTTGTGATGAATCCCTAGCAAAAATTGTAGTGTTAAATCTCTAGCTAAACCCGTTGTAATGAATCCCTAACAAAATCCATAGTTTATATTCTATAGCAGATTCCATAGAAAACAACGTCGATATATTTTCGTTGCAAAGTTGTATAGCTACGAATGGATAATTAATTTACAAATTAATTCCTAGTTATTTTGTAATAATATATATAAAAAAATCAAATAACATTTATATCATAAAATAAAACAATAAATATGTATTACATGGAAAATGAAAAGCGGTTAATCTAAAATTAATACTTTGCAATAAACAAATCAACACTCTATTATCTACTATTCTTGCAGTTCTTTAAAAGCCTTAACAATTTTCTTTGACGACTGTAGTTGTCATTCTAGCTACTTGCGTTTTGTGTTGTGTTGTTAATCTTTGGCTTTCATTACCTCTATAATTTCTTCGTTTTCCTTTTTTTGTTTACTTGGAAACTCTCTCAATGCTTCTAATTCATCATTTTTTTTCCGAAATATAACATATAGTTCCATTGTATCGTTAATCATCAGGATCACCTTTTCAAATGAGCCAAATACAAATAAAATACAATTAGCATGTAACAGGAATGTAAACGGAATCAAACTAATAGCAACCACCTAAAAATCAATTGACACTTCTAAATTCAACAGCAACCAAACCTACTCCATGTTGGGGACATATAGCAAAACGACATTAACTTTTGGGGCTTCATCAAAAAAGCATCAAACCAATAAAGCAATTACCTCATAGAACTACAACAAACAAATTTAATATAGGATCCAATGAAAACCCATAAATTTTGATGAAACCACCTGAGCAAAAAAATATCCAAACATCTCCAATGAAACCAATTAATAATGATATCCCTACATGCTAATATACAATACCATTGACCCTTTCAATGGTATTGTAAATTTTTGACTCCACCAACATTAGAAACTGAAAAAAGGAGCAAGCATCTGCATTAAGAAAAATAAATATATAAAATCCATAATTATCTCATTAACATTCATGTCTAAAGAAAGTTAAACAATTGACTCATTCCATCACTCCCTTTCTCTACACATACTAACACAAACATGACATGAAAGATGTAATACATTAATACATATAAATCATAACAATATTAATACAAATAAATCATAATAATACTAATAAAGATGTCATGGCCACTGTACCCTCTCTTAGGCATTTCAACAAACAGGTTGTATGCATGTCAATGTTCCACAAGGTACATATGAAAGTAGTACCTTCAATGAACCCGTGTAATTAGATGTATTCCAATCGAGCAATAGAAACATGAAGTACATGAAAAATGCAAAATAGGGCATCAAAAAAATACAACCTGTATAACAACACGCAAAACATATGAAAAGGAATTTCAATAGAGAAAACAAATCAATTGAGCAAAAAAACGCAAAGTAGAAGTAATACTTGCAAGAAATTTGATACACACATGTGCTAACTGATCTAGAAACCTAGAAGAATGTGAACTCTGACCACTACTTCTCAATCGATTTGGATGTGGTTGTTGGTATTGGGAAGGCGATTTCTTCATCTTGTATTTGTCTGTTTACGAATTTTGCATCAGAAATCATGTTGAGTTTCATAACTTGTGGTGCAATGAATTTAGTTGGCTTCACACCGGATGCTCTTTTTGCTTTCGAGGTCAACATCTTTCTGACGCAAACAATAAAAATAAATTATATATGAAGGCATTACTTTGCATGCAAACTATTGAATACAATCAAAACCAATTTACATGAAGAGAACAAAAAACGATTGATCATCACGACAAAACTAAATTAAATTAATATAAATTTTAGATGAGTGACAACCTATATCGCCAAAGTCAGTGCACAAACGTATAATGAACAAAAATTTCGATCAATAAGCCACCGGAGATGATGATTACAGAAAATGTAAACCCTATTTCTAATCGGTAAACTTAATTACCCTAATATGTAGCATAAACGTGTGTAGGTTGGAGGGAAACAAATTGTGAAATACTTTGAACCTCCGCTAATAAATAATTCGAACTGTGCTAATTACCGCTAAATATTTAGTAATTCAAAGTTATTTAAAGTAGTTACAGATTTATAGATAGGGTGTATACACATAAATAACGTCAATAAAGAACATATAATAACGATGTGCTCATAGTATAATTTTAACTTAAAATTATATACGATGACTAAACATTAATAAACTATACATCTTTATGCTTTTCTGTTTAAACCGAGATTTATATACAAAAGACGTACGGGTCATGTCAATATATATGGTAGTGGCTTATGGTGTCCATGGATGATATATGGGTCATTGGTCCACATGGTAATGACTTATGGTGTCCATGGTTGACATATGGATGGTATCTGGGTCATTGGTTCACATGGTAATGACTTATGGTGTCCATGGTTGATATATGGATGACATATGGGCCACTGGTTTCCGTGGATGACATATGGGCTATTGGTCAACATGGTAGTGACTTATGGTGTCCATGGTTGACATATGGGTCATTGGTCAACATGGTAATGGCTTATGGTGTCTATGGTTGACATATGGATGACATATGGGCCATTGGTCAACATGGTAATGGCTTATGGTGTCCATGGTTGACATATGGATGACATATGGGCCATTGGTCAAAATGGTACTGCCTTATGGTGTCCATGGTTGATATATGGGCTCTTTGAAGAATGGCTACAGTTAAAGGCATAAAGCTTCTAGTCAAATCAAGGGATTCAAATTTTCAAATTACATATCAACCCTTTATAAGAGGGTGTTTGGCATTGCTTGACTTTTTAACTTTTATCTTTTTCATAAAGTTAATAAAACTAAAAGATGTTTGGATAATTGAAAAATTCTTTTAAAATGACTTTTTTGCAAAGACTAAAAGAAAAGGTTTTAAAAAATCACAAAATCTAACTTTTTGTGACTTTTTTATTATTTTACTTATAAAAGTTAATCAAAAATCATTTTATATTTTAAATAACATATGAAAAAAAAAACTTCCACTAAAATCCTTCTAAAAAACAACTTTTGATGCTCAGAAGCACAAAGGCCCTCCTAAGAAAGCCAGAAAAGCTTTCATTTCCATTGTTACTCCTTTTGGTCTTCCAGTCTCTTATGTCCTCCCTCGCCCTTGTTCCCAAGTTCTATTAAGGAGAGATTTAGAGGGATGTCAAAGGAAAATCGTAGTTTAATTTATTTAATTTATGGAAGGAAAGTGAGAGAATGAAAAGGATTTTGGAGGGCATATTTTCCTCCCAATTTGGGTGTAAACGGGACCATTATACCCTTAACCCTGTTAAAAAGATCACATAGCCGCATAATCTTTTTTTTTTCATGCCCTCCGATCGTCTTCTTCATCCTCAAGCCGCTCAAGTCGCACGCTGACCAGGTGCATCTTCCTCCCTCAATCGTTTTCTTTTTCATCTTGCATGACCTCGTTTTTTCTTCTTATTTCTCTTCATCATCTTGTGCTGCTGATTTCTTGTGAAACCCAGTTTTCTTACGTGTTGCCTCCATACAACTTCTGTGTCATTGGATTTTGATTTCTGATTATGAATGTGCATGGATATCTAGTTTCATATCAGGAATGTTCTCCTACCAAACCTTAACCGGTTCTAAATGCTTAAGATTATGGTTTAATTGTTCATGTTAAGACCATTACACCCAAATTTTGACTTCCAAATGAATTGCTTTAGACCTAAGAAAAAAGTTTTGTTAAACCCACAACGCCCAAATTTTGACTTCCAACTATCTCCCGTGCTTTCTCAAGAAAGTCTAACTTGGTCGATTTAAGAAATTTTTTGTTACTTTTATATTTTCACATTTTCTACTCTCATATGTGAGCACAGATATTATTATGAGATTACTGTTAAATCATCATAATTTTGTTCAATCTTCATATTTTTCTTCATGGATATTTTAAAAACAGAAAAGGTTAATGGTAAACGTAAACTAAAGCTTATCGTCTATTTAATTATTGATTTGATTTTAAAAACAAGATTCAAACAAAGATCATCACTGTAGTTGATTCATATTGTTTACATGTTCTAAACATGATGTGTAAATAGATGTATAATTGTAATCTTTGAATTTTCTTTTCTTTTCCCTCCTAACTCGGGAATACAAAAACTTAAAATTTTTAACAGATTGTATATATATATTGCATTTCAACATGTGAATTAGTAGCTCGTTGATGATTTCCATGTCTTACTTTGGACTAACTTGACAGTTTTTTACGTGTTGCTCAAATTTCTAGCATGTAAATATCATATCATCTTGCATCTTCATTGCCTCTTTGCTTAATTTTGCAGCAGCATTAAACAGTTGTAGGATGGAAGTTCTAGGTTTATCATTGGATATGATCAGCAACCTTCCTCCAAATATAATACAAACAATGCTAACTCTTATGCCAATTCGAGATGCATTCAAAACAAGTATTTTATCAAGAAACTGGAGGTATCATTGTGTAAACATTCCAAAACTCAAGTTTGATGATGAAGTCTTTCAAGTATCACCTCAAAGTCACTTGCCCATCAAATGCAAACTCTTACATTATCTACCCAATCTTGTTGTTACACCATCGCCACATAGTCTCATTCTCTCTTAGTAGTTCCCAACTAACTAGTTGTTGTGAGATTGACCAAATCATACTTCACCTATCCAAAATGTCTACCTTGAAGACCTTTTCTCTTTCTATTGGGTTAGGTAATGACCATAAGTTACTATCCCCATTCTTCATGTTACAACACTTAAAGCACCTAAAACTCCAAAACTGTGTGTTTCAACCTCCATCCTCGTTTTATGGATTTAGTAGCCTGAAGAGCTTATACTTTCACAATGTCAGCATAACTCCCAAAGTTCTTCTACGTTTTATCTTCAACTGTCCTCTACTTAAGAGCTTCACTTTGGTAAAATCACTAAAACCCAACAAAATTTACCATTTTAGAAAAAACTTTGCTATATTAATCTATACATACATATGTTGTATCTTGAAGCAGATTGAAGATGAAAAACATCTTACTGGGTGTTGGAACTCTGACTTTGTTGAGTTATTTACGTGTTTACCAATGATTGAGCATCTCTGTATGAATTCTTCTCCGCTTAAGGTAACCCATGTTGAACCAAATTTATATATCTCATACATGACAACTTAAAGGACAATTAGGTTTTGCTAATTATTGTTTTTTGGTTTTGGTTAAAGTATTTTGCTTCAGGTGTCTTGCCAGATAAGCTCCCGATTGCACTTGTCCACCTCAGAGTTCTTAATGTATCCGGACTATGCTTTGCAAAAGAAGTTGACTTACGTTGTGCTCTTCTTTTGGTAACAAGCTCCTCGAATATAGAGAAAATTACAATGGAGGTAAATTGTATGAAACAATGAAATACTAAATAAGATAACGTGTTATATGATTAAGTGATTAACTAATTACGAAGGTAATTTGTTATTAACAGATGTGTTATACATCAGAAGTTGTGTCGCAAAGTGCCATGAACCTTATTGACTTGGTGGACTATTGTAACGTGACATTGGATCGTCTGTGTGAATTAGAGATAAGAAACATGGCCAACGTGAAGCCAGAAATGGATTTTGTGAAGCTTGTCTTGGGCAAGTCACCGATGCTAAAGAAAGTGGGAATAGTAATTGACAATCGGGTTGCTGTTAATGCTGAAGTAAAGATGTTAAGAGAGTTGCTTCAATATCAACGTGCTTCAACAAATGCAAAAATTATATTCGAACGTCCATGATCATCAATTATATTTCTCATCTTGGTTTGTTAGAACTTAGAAGTATGTTTCTGGATAAGTGACAATTCTTTGTTATACTAGAGAAGCACTTGGTGAACAACCATCTTAGTTTTATGAAGTTGATGCTTTTTGATACCATATATGGTGAATTTTGTAAAACTGATGATGTAAGCCTGTGATGTTGCAGTTGAAAAGAGTAAATGGTTAATGGATATGTTATGAAATTAAGAATCGTAAGGTATATGATAAGTAATGCTCTTGCAATAATGGGAAAAGAGAATTCGAACATAGGAGTTATATTGAAAAATCATGCTTAAAAGAATGTAGCATTGACTATTGAGGTTTTAAGTTTAGGCAAAAAAAAGATTTATGTTTCAATTAGAGGAATTGAATAAAAAGACACAATGTGTGTGTGGCTGCTGGGATTCGAGCCCAGGTCTCCACGGCCACAACGTGGAATTCTTACCACTAAACTACAGCCACATTGATGTTTTAAACCGTAACCAATATATTATTAATCTCTTTTGGACTTAATCCACTTCTTTCACCTCCATTCATATAGTCTTCATCTCCTACCTTTTGAAAACCTTCCACATAAATTCCTAACCCTAAAAATAATGTTAACAATGGTATCTTTCTAAATCAATGATTAGAAAGATTCGACTTAGATTTTGATGGGGACAGGTTACGAGCTAGCAAAGGAGAAAACATTTTGTTAAAATTGATAAATATTATGAAACGGTTTGTTGGATTGTAAAAGGAAAATGTTTATTTAGTTTATTTAAAATTAAACAAAACATTTTATCCATATATATTATTTGTTTGGTCACTTTATTCGTAAAAGACTTAATTGAATGAAAAAAAAAACGTATATCTATGTAGAAAATTTGAAATTTTCACTAGAATTAAAATATACAGATAGAAAGATTTATAACAAAATTTAGTTTATAAGAAAATATAACATCGTGTAAGAAAAAGCTTTGAAATTAGGCGGAAGTGTAACAATCGTGGACTTGATCACGATTTCACGATTGCGTGCTCGTTGAGAAATGTATGATGACTCCTTGACGTGGCAGGTAAATCCATAATTTACATTTACAAAATTAGAACCAATCACATGGGTCGACGTACCACCAATTAACCCTATCACCAAGTCATCTCGTCGTTTATTACCACTGGCCCCACTTTCTATCTTTAATCAACGTCTCTCCTTACACCCCTTCAGTGGGCCAGCACGTAGCCAAAAAATCTCACTCGAACTCGGATCTGCATAAGGATATTGCAAATGCATGTGTATATAAAGGTCGATGAACATCTCACGATTAGTGAAAAAAAACTCGTCATTTCTTTGTATAATTCTCAGGTAACTTCACAATTTTTAAACTCATAAACGAACTTTCAAGTCAATTTTGTTTATTAGTTATTGATCAGATTCAGATCTGTAAACTATTAGGTGAGAATGATGCTTCGACAGTTCGTTACAACTTAGCTTTCATTGATCTGTTTTGCGTAATTTTGAAGATTCATCGTCTAGTTGGTAGCAAAATTTAATAATGTTGATTTGAATTCTTTGATCGGCTATTTAATTGGAAGTTGTAGCATTTTGAAATTGAGCTCACGGTTGAAGGAAGAGTTAGGGTTTTAGTTCAAATTTTAAGAGCATTTAGGTAATCTGAATTGGAGATTGGATCTTCCATAGATAGTTATTTAGTTAGGATGATGTTCTGTTGAGATTTTCATAATTTAGAAGGTTTTGATATGAGACGTGTGCTAATGGTTTCTGTTTTTGTTAGATACTGTGAAGAAGTGATCCGAAGAAGATGGCTACACAGGGTACTACTGGAGCAAACAATGTTACTACCCGACCACCTCCAAATCCATCTCCTCTCCGTACTGCAAAGTTTTTCCAGGTATAGTGTTGATGTGGCTTGAATTTTTTGAATGATCTCTCGCTGATTTCCTTCATCTTTATCTGTTCAACTGGTTTTAAGTTGGATCTATATATGTTATTATCTGTTTCTTTGTGAATCGTGATGCATATATATTTCGGTTCTAAGATAAATCTTGTCTGACATCGATAGGCCAACATGAGGATATTGGTCACTGGAGGAGCTGGTTTCATTGGCTCTCATCTTGTGGACAGATTGATGCAAAACGAAAAGAACGAGGTACACAGTTTTTAAAAGTATTTAAATGACATTCAATGTTGCTTTGTCTGAGAGGATCTGCATTGTAACACCATACCTTTGTTTTAAAGCTTCTTTTTTATTTTTCTTAGGTGGTGGTTGTAGATAATTACTTCACAGGTTCAAAGGACAACCTTAAACAATGGTTTGGTCACCCAAGATTTGAGCTTATTCGTCATGGTAAGCTGTCTTTGAATTCATTGATTAGTGGTATTTGTCTTTCCCTTACTTATATATCTTCGGGGATGCAGATGTCACAGAGCCATTGTTGATTGAGGTCGATCAAATATATCATCTTGCTTGTCCAGCTTCTCCAATTTTCTACAAACATAATCCTGTCAAGGTATCTTTTTTTCAGTCAAGACCTAATTCATATTACTGAATGAATAATGATTTTTCATCTTTGCTTAATCGTGTTCTCAAACAGACAATCAAGACAAATGTGATTGGAACTTTGAACATGTTGGGACTTGCCAAACGAGTTGGAGCAAGGTTTGAAAATTTCATTCTCTTGATGTGTGATTTGCCAATATATTAAATACTTAATTAATTGTTCTTCATTTACCTACAGAATTTTGTTGACTTCAACTTCAGAGGTTTATGGAGACCCTCTTGTCCACCCTCAAGATGAAAGCTATTGGGGAAATGTCAACCCTATCGGTAAATTTACAGCATTTTCCCTTTTCTTAATTGAATTCAAAAGGTCTTGAAATGATGACATGGATGTTGTGCTGTTTGTATTGAAGGGGTTAGAAGTTGTTATGATGAAGGAAAGCGAGTAGCTGAGACATTGATGTTTGACTATCATAGGCAGCATGGAATAGGTGGATATAATGTCTCACTTGTTACTTATATACATGAACACATTATATAGATTTTGTAAAATAAAAGTTAGCTGATTCATATTTTATATTTCATTTAACAGAAATAAGAATTGCTAGAATCTTCAATACATATGGACCTAGAATGAACATTGATGATGGGCGTGTTGTCAGCAATTTCATAGCTCAAGCAATCCGGTAACTTGTTTCTTTTTTGAACTGAATTGACTGCCTGTATCTGAGTAAATGACCATTTTACCCTAAGTTTTACGAATTATTTATTGTGGTCTGATGCAGCAATGAACCCTTAACTGTTCAAGCACCAGGAACTCAAACACGAAGCTTTTGTTATGTCTCTGACATGGTAAGTGGAAACCCACAGTTTTTTTATAATCATATATACATTTGGCACTTTTATTTAATTTAATTTTCCACCCTTGTTTCCTTTTAAAATTAGGTTGATGGTCTTATTCGGCTCATGGAAGGAAACAATACGGGCCCAATCAACCTTGGTAATCCCGGCGAATTCACCATGCTTGAGCTTGCAGAAAATGTGAAAGAGGTTAGTTTGGTAATTTTACACAAGAAAAACAATGTGAGACGATGATAACTAAGAAAAATTCCATTTTTGGTCCCTGAGTATATTAGCTGTTTTTTTCCTTCCAAAAAGCTTTCTCTTGCAATCTGATGTTTTAATAACGTTTTTGGTCTTTGTTCCAAGTAGAATGCAAGAGTAAATTACATTTTTCGTCCCTTAAGCTGATTTAATTTTTAAATGTTGGTCCTTATTTGAAAATTTTGTAACGTTTTTTTTCATTGTTCCGAGTAAAATGGCTATATTTTTGGGACAAAAATTGAAAAAAACAAAATCAGTTATACTCAGGGGACCAAAAATAGTCATTTTAGTTGGATGGTGACCAAAAATGTCAGAATAACCTCATATAAGGACTAAAATTGCAAGAGAACAAAAATGTAAAGCTACTCTAGTCATTATTATTACTAAATTGTAATGAATAAAAATTGTGAAATGTACAGCTTATCAACCCGGAAGTGAAGATTATACATGTGGAAAACACGCCTGATGATCCACGACAAAGGAAGCCGGTGATTAGTAAGGCAAAGGAGGTGTTGGGTTGGGAGCCAACGATTACATTGCGTGAGGGACTTCCACGTATGGAGGAAGATTTTAGGAAGAGGCTTGGAATCCTGAGAAATGAATGAGACAGATTATACATATGGTATCATGTTAATTTCTGATTTTATAAGAGACGTTTGTGCGATATATGTTGTTTTTATGTGTGGTGTAATTTTTTTTTCCATATAACACGTTTCTCTTTTGGGAGGGAAATCGGTGGCTCTTTGCTTGGTTATCGCTTCATAATTTTTTTCTTGTGTCATCAACTATACCATATCAATACTCTCTCCATAAACATATCATCAACTATTTTATATTATTGTTTTTTTTTTAATCCTAATTATTTTTATTATGTAAATTATTAAAATTAATAACTTATAACAATCAAATATTCTATAATATGCTCTCAAACGAACGATTATTAATTGTGTACCTGAGTAGTTAGTTGAAATGAATTAAGGTATGTCAAGATAATATAGTTGTTTTCTTATTAGTGTATGTCTATGTTTTAAAGTATTTGAAATTTATATTATTTTATTTGTATTAAATTGTTTTTAAAATATTGATATTATATAGATAATATAAATTTAATAGTTTTAATATATAAATATTTTTATATAATATGTAAATAACATAAAAATTAAATAAAATAACTATATATAAAAATGAAATAACAAAGGGAAATAGTATTTTTGTAAGACTGTGGACCCATGTCTTGTTGAAACCGATTTCTAAATTCTAGAAGATAAAAATAGGTATATTTGATTTGTAGAACGTTGAAAACCATAGGTAATCAACTAATCATTCTGTTTCTATGTAAAATGTGGGTTGGTTACACAGACATTTTATATTTCATATTATAAGACACCCTAGTTAATTTTTTAAATATTTTTATTGGTTGAAATTATATTGTTTTCCAAAAAAAACTAATTATAAAAAGTTAGTTATTGATTGACTTTTTATAAAAGTGTCAATAGGATGTCAAAAATGTATCTTATTAACAACACATAAAAATTTTAGTTGTATTTAGTTCATAATGAAAATATTTAAAGAACTATGTAAAACACAAAAATGTAAAATTTCTAAAAAACAGGATTACAAAAGAAATATGTAAAAAAATTGTCAAATTTAAGAAAATATGATTGTAAAGAACATAAAAAAAAGTTGTAACAATAGTTTCAAAAGAAGTAAAAAGAATTTTTTTAAAAAAAATAGTAATTAAGTTCTAAAATAAGTTCGAGAGAAATTATAAAAAAGGCTTCTACCAAATTTGTTAAAAAGAAAATTTGAAATTTGGATGAAACAAGTCGTTGTACACTTAATAGGTATTTACTTTATATCATAATTTGATTTTGAATTTTCTTTTTGTCAGAAAATATTAATTATAATTTTTTTTTTGTTCAGTGTTATCAATTGGCATCAACAAGCCAGGACTTATAATCAGGTGAATATAAATTATATTACATATTACATTTTTGTGAAAACAATTTTTTTATTGATTTTTTATTAATTATTTGTTTGAATGATTTTAGAGTGCGATTCATGTTATGGTCGGTAGCAAGTTCGACGAATTCGTTCAGCTTCCATTGGATTTACAGTGGACAATTGCCAGTCAGGTAATATTCAGTTTTTTTTTTTTTTTTTTTTTTTTTTTTTTTTTTTTTTGTGGTCGAGAAAAATCTCATAATTCGTGCTTAAATTCGTGCTTATATCGTACATAAAAATGAATTTGATACTATTAAATTAATAAAAATATATATACTTATACGAATTACAAATAAAAATCTAAATAAAATAAAAAAGAACTTTGCACCTTTAAAGTCAAATTTTGTAGCCAACAAGTTTGACCTTTTCATGATGAAAATGATGGGATAACCCATCACTGACTTCTAAAAGAATGTTTCTTCGCCCACCTCCAAACTTGAATTATGTCACACAAGTCCCATCAAAAGAGGAAAGTTCACACTTCACACCTTTTGCCTCAAAATACATTTTATAATATATTTAAAATTATGATATACATATATTATATACGTCTTAATATTAATCTATAATTGTACAGGCAAGAGCATATGCAAAGGCTATAAAAGCGACATTGTTCTTCTCGAGTGCATCTTACAATATAAACGTAAATAAAATCTTCAAGTGCATCTTACAATATAAACGTAAATAAAATCTTCAAGTTCGTAACTGCGAAGCTCTTTGACTTGCCATGGACTTTGGAGCGAAATCTTACAATCGGCGAGCCTATTATTGATTTCTGATATCAGTATTCGTTATTCAGGGATTCAGTATTCAGTATTCACACCCTCCTCCGTCTTTAGGTTTGTGATGTAAATATAGAAACGAAATATGGGGAGGAAGTGGTCGATCAATCGTATAGTCAGTTATTGCATCTTCGTTCTTTGTTTTCTAGTTAAGTGAGATTTTAAGGGTTTTCAGTTCTTTTTGTTGTTTTCTTACCGGAGAGCTTGGTGGAGGTATCGAGGCTTTCCTGTCTTCATGTAAAACCTGTATTTTCTTGTTAGTGAATTGATTTCAAAATTGATTAAAACACATTTCTTTATATAGTGTGATGTCGCCTTAACTCATGTTCTAACCCTTGAATCTTGTATGGCCCGAAGAAAAATGAAAAATGAAAATTGAAACATTGAAACTAATCTATTATTTTCTTTATAATTTGTTTGAAATATTTTGTCAAATCGATAACAATCCTAAAGAAGTCAACACGAACTTAGATTTATCCCACACATTTCCACCACACAACAATCCACTAGCCGATTGACGTAAAAACTTATATCAGCAACTTGTAGATACCATTAATATTTGAAATCCTTAAACAATAATTGTTGAGGTTCGAATATTTGACATTTTCTTCAAGTATAAGAGGATGCGGTGTGAACAATAAGAAGTGATTTATTGCTGAGATGACAGCCCATAACACAGTCATAACATGAGGAACACCGTCTCCTTTCTCGTTAAGAGGTGTTAAGGCACAACTCGTTGTAACGACAACGAACAATAACGAGAAATATGATTGGCTTTTGGTTTTTTTACTATTGAATTGGAATTGTTTTAAAAAGGAAAAAAAAAAAATAATAATAATAATAATAATAATAATAATAATAATAATAATAGTTGTTATAACATAGAGATAATTTCTTATCATGATGTTATAACACTAGGTGTGATGTGTCATCTGAGATACTCATATCCAATGCTCTAACACCTTGAGATCACAAAAACAATTCTAGTAAAAATTTTAACACGAATATATGTGATTTTCGAGTATTTCAACTCGTTTCTTTAGCTTTATTTCTGTTTTCTCCTTTTTAACACAGCATCAATAAAATCAATAAAATATATGTCGGAATTTTCAAACCTAAGATAGACCTAAATTCAAATTACAAAACTAGTCAAGTTGGTAGATTGCTTATGATGACTCCCGAAAACGTGTTTGAAATTGAATTATAACTTGGTCCTCTCGTACATTTTGAAATGGGCTTTAGGGACGATCCATGTTCTTTGGAGCTCATAAATGAGCATCTATGGGCTGCTTTTGTTGCATGTGTAAGTAAGTAATAGAGTCGAAGTTGGGAATCTTTCAATTCATTTATCTAAAAATAATGTAGTTTAGGTCTTTAGGATACATTTATGTTTTAAATAGTTAAATAAATAATTTATAGCTATGGCCTATCGTTTTTGTAACAAATTATAAACTTATGTTTTTTATTTTTATTTTTTTCAACGACAAATACAAATATATATTAAACTACTTCTAAACTAGACTACTCCTAAATAATTTATGTTTTTTATTTAACTAGGTGTGAGATTCATGTATTACATGAATTTATTTAGAAAAAATTAAATATGAAATTCTAAACATTTGAAGTTTGAATGTATAAAAAAAATGAAAAAAATGTTGCATTACTAAATTTAAAGTGTTTTTTTTAATAATTTGAACAGATAATTTAGATAAATAAACAAATAAAGCTAATGAGACTTTAATTTAGTAATTTTGAAATTAATATGTATTTATTAATACATTTAAATATTAAATGAAATTTAATAAAATAAAAAAAATCATAAAATGACATATGAAAAAAAATAAAAATAATTAGAAAATACCATATGGCATGATGCATTAGAAAATGACAAGCGACAAAATTATTTTTATATGTTATGGAGGATTTCTCTCCGGTTTCTTTTCTTTTTGTTTTTTCTACTTTGACCCCAATTAAAAAATTAAAAAAGTTGTATCTAAAATAAATTAAGTTGTTAACAAGAATTTTACACCAAAAGTTATCAATAAAAATAAAATAAAACCAGGTGCTCAACATACTATATCGTTTTTAACTGAAAATCTTAAATCATTAAATCAACAATTCAACATGATATTTGGTATTATCTAGATAAAAACATTATATTTACTAAAGGCAGAATAATGAATTAATGATCAAAAATGTATATGCATAATTCACAAAGAATTTAAGGACCGAAAAAAATAAGCAGACATTACATTAAATATGTTAGATGGACAAAGTGCTTAAATAAAGAATCATATATTGATATAAAAAAATATCATATTCGATGAAATTTTCTTTTGCTTTGTTTTTAAACAAAATCAGCATATTTATTCTTTATTTTAGATAAAACTAGGGAAGGATCCCGCTTTGCAAGTTGGATACACCATAGCTTTCCCTGTTTTCACATTTCTAGATATTGAATGTGGACCTAAAATGACAATGAATTTTCCCCTTTTGAATAGTTTATTACTATAATAATAACAATAAACTTTAGAATACTAAACAAATTTGTTTTAAAAAAAAAAAAAAAGTCTGAAACTAAAATATTGCATTGTACTTCTCAAATGGTCAAATTAAGGCATCCTACTTTGATCTTAAGGAATGGAGAGGTTTCTAGTTGGTTTTCTCAGCATTCGGACAATTTTACCCTTCCCACCAGCTCATCAATAAAAAAAAGTTGATCGCCATTGAGTTTATCGAACGCCCTGATACCATTCAATTACAAACTATAAATAATTAATATATTTATATAATCTTGAATGAAAATAATATTTTAAAAAATTCATAACTTCAAATAAATTAGTTTTTTTTTTCAATTTTTTTATTAATCATAAGTCTATTTTAGATTTTCTGGCAATTAAAATTTTTTCTTTTTTGAGTAAACAAATTTTTTAAGTGATAAAAAGACCTTTTTTTTTAGTATTTGGAATACAAATAGGACACCTAGTAATTTCACATACCAGATTATCCATTCAGGCCAGTGCTTCGACTCCTAGAGTCATTGTGTCTTCCATAATACTCCTCCACCTGTTGTCAATAAACCACCAACTTATTGATTATAGCATTCATCACCAATTGAATCAGACCACCATCTTCATCAACCTGAACCATAGACAAAGTTCATAAAACACAAAAAAAGAAGAAGATTAGCAGATAAAAATAACCCCCCCCCACTATTCATGATTAAGTAATCTACATATCATTCACAAACTGACGCACTATGATGAAGTATTGAAAAAGAAATTACTTCATTTAACCTTGTCTAAATGATGGACTGTGGAGGGTAAAATGGTCATAAATTATCGAATTTTTGATTTGCGTAATTACGTGCATACCTAAAGTCTTATATGTTAATCATTTCATCTACTCGGTCTCACATTAGGAGAAACCCCATTAATAAACAATCTGTGAAGGACATGAATTCCAAGAATTAAGAGTAGATGAACATGGGGAGTTAAGGGACCAAATACAAATTGTTACGTGAATGGTATGACAATCTGTAGGACAGAAAAACGCTGAAATTGTCAAAATCTATTGAAAACAGTAAGAGAAAGTGTAAAAGGTGATTAAAATATTCATTTTTATTTACATATTCATTCTTCGAAAGTGCCTTTTGAGAGTCACTTTTGATAGCAATAACCCTTGAACCAACGTTCAATCCAGTGGTAGGAAACATATCTATAGCAGTGAGGTAAACCCCCTCTGTTAACCACTATTGATGGCAATATATTGTTGATAAAAATTAACACAATCTATCTTTTGTTTTCCGTAGCATCTTTTCAATATCATTAAAAAAATAGACATTCTCAAAAAGAATTTATAAAAATAAAAAAGATATGATTTTGAAAATTTGAATGAAAGTTAAAAAAATCCACCTGTTTTCTGTATTCATGACAACAAAATTACAAATCATGAGACGTAAATATTTCTGCAACTGAGATGCTTCAGGAAAGTACTTCATATCTTGAATTGCAATCTCCCTTACTCGAGCTTCTATGGCCATGGCTGCATGAACAGGTGAGCACATGAAAAAAATGTCGAGATTCTTGATACCATTTTGGGGAAATAGTATAACAACTAAGAATTTATAAAAACTAAACATTTAAGAACAAAGAGCAGCAAGATTCCAACCGATGTGATTACCTTATCTGTGGTTTGTGGGACAATAACAGTCAAAAATGGAAAACATCTTCTACAACCAAAAGTGATCAAATTATGTTATTTGTTGTAGTAGGTAGCAATATAATAATCAAACACATAGTCTGTATTTAACCAATACAAAGCATATGCATAAGCAGAAATCTAAACCAAAAATTATAATCAGCATAAAATGAAACAGTTGGTGTGCAAGGATAATAGAAGTGTATAGTTTCAATATGTATTGCTTTTTTATGTCCTTCCGAGGTCCGACGACAAACAACAGCGACCAAAAAATTTGCAAATAACTTATAGAAGTTAAAGATGAAAAAATAAACAGTACAGTGGAAGACATCTAAAAGAGACTTGTGCCCATCAAACCGAAGACAATAACACCAACAATAAAATCATAAATCTGAAGACCGATGATGGGATGGAGAGCTGAATATCGAAAAATCGGAAGATCGACGTTGGAGTTTTGAGGTCGATTACGGATACACAATGGAGACCCTGATACAAAATCGAGAGAAGACGATGAATTGAAGCAGCAAAACATATTGAAGCATAGCACACAAATACCGACAATTGAAAATCCAAAATCAAAAGTGATGGTGGTAAGAGGTGACGGAGACGAACCAGAACCCTTTGGAGGTGGCGACCTGGCGGTGGAGGATTCTATTTCTACGACACCGGCGACTTTGAGTTTGATTGAGGAGGAATACCAAGCAATAGGCGATGGAATGTATTTAGGGCTTAACAAAAGAATGGGTGACTTGGCAGAATGATCGAGATTATCAACTGAAATCGGGTATTTGGAAGAAAATGATTGGTTGTGGTGGCGGTGATAGATTAACATGTTGTGTCCAACACATTTAAACACCGTGTTTTTTTTTTTTAATGAAGCGGTGGAGACGCAAGAAAGATAAGACGACAGGTGTACATAATGAACAATATCCTTGTTTGAAGAAAAAAATAAAAAAGAAATTAAAGAAGTGGTCCAATAGGAATCAACACCTGTTCATCTGGTACTTCTTAATTAGTATATATATATATTTGTAAAAATGAAAGTTTGACGGGAAGGCGGCATAAACGCATACTTGTTTTTAGAAATAAAAATTAAAATAAAAAAATAAAATTAAAATAATAAAAATTAAAATAAATAAATAAAGTGCTCGAACCTTGGTCGAATAATGATATCAAGAAAAAGTTCATAGGAGCTTTCAAACTAGGGCTGTGAATTATTTGATTTGGAACTGAAAAACCCGAAAACTAAATCGAATCAAAATTGATTTCAGACCGAACCATATATAAATTATGTTTTTTGTTTGGTCCGAGACCAAAACGAATTATGAATTTGGTTTTCAGTTCGGGTTTCGGTCTCATGAACTTTAAACTGAACTGAACTAAAAAAACCAAATTTAATAAATTAATTAATTAAAAAATATATTTTGTATTTTCTATATTAAATAAAAATAATAATTATAGAATAATAATCATTTTAACCCATTTATTTTTCGAGCTTTTTGTTTGCAACTTTTAAGTTGTTGCGTTAAAAACATATGGTTAGAAAGTTGCAACACTAATTTTTTTTAAGTAAATATTTGATTTCCTGGGTTTTCAAACCGAATTAGGATTTGGTTTTCGATTTGGTCTAGAGACTTTGAATCCAATTAGGTTCGGTTTTCGAATTGGACCAAAAAAAGAAAATCCAAACCAAGAAAAACTAAAGAACCTATAAATCGAACTGATTCTCACCCACATTTCAAACCCTCTTCTTGCATAATGAGAGTCAACAAAGAACGTAAATATCGATAATACATTGCTTCGTTTAATTCCTCTTTTGTCGATACGTTTATATAAAAATTTAGAATGTTATCGTTCATTGATGTGATACTATCTATAGTAAGCACAACCTAATTTCTTAAGATTACTAATTAAAATATAACATTTTTATCGGCTATTGTATGTTTGATTTTTGTTCGAATGGGTAATTACTTATTTTTTTTCTCCTACGTATCAAACTCTTGATCTCCTAGTTAGTTAATTCATAACTTTCATGTTAGCCAAGTGGATTAATTCCAATTTATTATTATTTGTTTAGCCAGTTACATGAGTCATGTCGTTTCCTATTCGTCTACTCGATTTATGACGAGTCTATGACAACTTATACCATCTTTTTTCAACTCAAAAATCCAAAAATAATTAAAATTACAGGGTGTGTTGTCACATTTACAATACTTTTTTATCTTACACATAACATCACCTTAGTGTGACTTCATTTTTACCACCAAATAGAGATGTCAAAAAGTCTCGTGGGGCCCCGTCCCGTTTGGGGGATTTTTTTTAAAAAAAGTCGGGGGCGGGGATGGGAGCGGGGGCAAGGTTAACCCCCGTTTTAATTTCGGGGGCGGGGGCGGGGTAGGCAATCACGTCCCGAAATCCCCATGGGGATCCCGTTAATAAATTACACATATATTTACATATATTAATTATATAAATATAATAAACAATAACATGATTTTGAGCTTCCAAAACATGTTCATCAAAAAACATGTTCTTAAGTTGTTAGTATAAATTTTTAAAATCCCATAACTTTTTTATTTTTAACATATAAAATTCAGTTATAAATAATTATTTGTTACCTAAAAAATAGTTTATTTTAGCCTAAATAACAACTTCTTTTAGCCCAAAAAAAAAGAATCAAAATCAATCGGGGGCAGGGAATGGGGACGGGGGCGGGGGTAGGAACATTGAACATTCCGGGCGTGGGGGTGGGGGCGAGGGTACAGGGAAATTTTGGGTGCGGAGACGAGAGATGCACTCCCCGTCCCATTTGACCCCGTTGACATCCCTACCACCAAATCAAGATTATTTGCCACACACTAGCAGTTGAACATGACATGTGTATTAATTTTTATTATTATTTTATAAAACAATTCAGTTTTAATAAAATAAATTTCATTACTTAAAAAAATGACATTACAAAAACTCCTGAAAACTTGAAAAAACAAGAACAACTAGAAATTTAAAACCTTACAAACTTTAATTTAAAAAAACAAACGATTTAACATGGCACCAAAAAGAATACTGAAAATATTTCCTTCGTGTGCATGCTCCAACACAATAAACAAAGAACACCAATGAGGTTTTCCATAAATTGTCTTCCAAAGACAACAAGAATAAGATGCAAACGAATTTATGAACATATATGAACCAATAAAAGGTGCAAAGTCATCTATAACTATAAATTGCTCAACAAGGTACATTCATTCTCACGAAAATCCATATTTCTAACGCAAAATAGTCATGTAAAAAAATAACCACCAATGTTATCAAGTTAAGACTTTCCATAAAATTTATCGAATGGATTTTAAGATTTAGAGATTGACCAACACAGATTCTACTGAATAACAAAGATAATCGTTACATTGTTAACCATGATAAGATATATCGACTTCAATCTATTTGAAAAGCGTTTGGCTATAATTGATTAGAAAAAAGTTTCATTCAAAGAGACAAAGAACACGAATCCATTTTGCAAATCAATATTTAAACATTTCAAACCGATTCGTCAAAACAGAATACATTTCCATTCAACTAAGCATCCCAAACAGCAAGACATTGATAACATGTAACCAAATTGTCCCAAAAATCGAGATGATTCATTACAACAATTTAAGCAAAATATTCACTACCCAGCTCTTAGATCTATTAACCTCCGAATCCATACAAAGTTCTTCCCTGCCTCTTCAAAGCATACACAACATCCATGGCTGTCACAGTCTTCCTACGAGCGTGTTCGGTGTAGGTAACAGCATCACGAATAACATTCTCCAAAAAGATCTTCAAAACACCTCGTGTCTCTTCATAGATCAGACCGCTGATCCTCTTCACTCCTCCTCTCCTCGCCAGTCTCCTGATAGCTGGCTTCGTGATTCCCTGGATGTTATCCCTGAGAACTTTCCGATGACGCTTTGCTCCTCCCTTTCCCAACCCTTTTCCACCCTTTCCACGGCCAGACATTGTCAAATGAAACAAGTTCTTGAATTTCAAGTTTCTTGAGGAAGAGATGGAGGATAAATGTTGATTTAAATCGAATTGTGTAGTAGGGTTTATAAAGGGCTTGATGATGGAATTGGGGGGTTTTGAATTTTGAGCGGAACATGTGTTTTCGCGGTTTGTCAAAAAGATCGACGGCCGATAGATGTTTAAACGGATCTGAGACGTCGATTGAGTTGAATCGATGGTCGAATAATTCTGAAGTGGTGGATCGATGACGTGGAATGTGATGCTGGATGTATCTTTTTAAGAAAATTCCAATCGACCCCTGTAGAACAGACATATATTACCTAAACCCCTTCAAAATTATGATAGAAACACCCCCAGAGTAATTATATCTTTTCGAAGTTACGAAAGATTTACTAATTTATCTAATGTAGGTCAACATTTTATTATTTGTTTAGTTAACTAAACCAACTTAAGGCTTAAGTTTAGTGATTTGAATGAGAGAGTTTAGTAATTTGAATGAGAGTGATATTGTTAACTTAAGCCACTAATATAAATTTATTTAGTTTTTTTTAATTATATTAACATTCATACTTGTTATAACAACCAATTATGTTTTACTTGTCTCTAAAATCTCATATTAAGTGTTAATGTACGCTTCTAGTTCTTTTTTTCTATAAAATCTTTGTATTAGACTATAAAGAGGAAAAGCAAGTCTCCACATAAACATTATGATACACTCACATAAGGTTTTTTTTTTTTTTAACCGGCAAATATATTAATAATCCTCTGTCACCGCCCGCCTAGCAGGTCGCTAAACAGCAGAGAAAAAAAAAAGGAGTATAAGAACAAAAGGTTTACGTACAAGTTAAAGGATAAATGGACCAATCAACCCATTTGTAACTCCATTTCAATCGTCCAACCAAACACCTAAGACTTAATAATATATGTTAGATAGTAATTGACCAATCAACTCATTTATATGTTTTTTAGTACTTTGTCGCACATCGCCTTCCAAATCTACCATAGCATCCAGATAGTAACTAAGTTATTTTTTCAATCCTTATCATTCCCAAATGCAGCCAAGTACTCAGTTAATTCTCCAATTGTCGATGCCTGGAACATTGGAATGTCACACCACTTCAGGTCTCATTCCCATATTGTTTTTCGCGAACGGGCATGATAGCATAATATGGTCATAATCATTGTCATCTGCTAAGCAATAACTGTGACATCCTCATTTTCATGGCCAGAAAATACTGATTTGTTTATGTTTTATTTGAAACTCGAAGTATTAATTTTAAAGAATAATATTACGGAATTTGTTTCCAAAAAACATGATAAATATATTATAAAATCATTGTTGAATAAATGTATTTTGTTTATATTAAAACTTTTGGATGTCATCGTCAATACATAAATATAAGCATAAATTACATTTATTTACACTAGGTTTTAGTGTAATATTTATAGCGACTATTTACGAACGATATTGTTTTATAAGTGTTAAAAAATATTTTTCAACCACTATATACAGACATGGATCAGACATGAAATATCGGGTTGCAGTTCCGTTTTGGTATTATAACACTTCCGAAATTCAACACCCTATGCGGTCTTTCAAATCAAATTATCCGTACTGCAAGTAATTAAAGATATTATAATAACATTATGTATATTATATTTTATAATCTATTTATTGTTTAAGAGTTCATAATAACGATATTGAACTTATACATAAGCTATAATTAAAGTATGGTAATCATAACTCACTTACTAAGAAGTTTTGCTAGGAATCGGGCTCTGTGGGGGTAGAGCTTCCGAGCTGAAAGCTCTTCTTCTCGGAGCCTT